GGGGGGTTTCCTTCCCCACCCCCACCGGACCCAAAAGTCCCATAATTGGCCCCAAAATGCGCCCCGGGCTCCGGGAGCGACTATGGCTGAAAGGAATAGAAAGGAGCCGAAAAGAGCCGGATGGAGCCAAATTCCGCCTTTTCTGCCCCCAAAAAGGTGAGAAATTCGCTGCGGGCGGGGCTCCCGTTGCTGATTCTTTTACACTTCTTTTCCTTTTTTATTTTTTCTCTTTTTTTTTTTTTTTCTTTTTTCCCCTTTTTCCTTTTCACCCATTATCTCCTCTTATCCATTTTCCCATTTTTTCCTTTTTTTTTTTTTTTTTTTTTGCGTTTTTTCCTTTTTTCCCCCCCAATTTTCCCCTTTTCTTATCAATTTCCTCCCATCTTTCCCCATTTTCCCACTTTTCCTCATTTCTCTCAATTTTCTCTTCATTTTTCCTAATCTTTCCCCAGCTTTCCCCCATTTTCCCTTTTTGTCCTCCTTTTCCCCCATTTTCCCTTATTTTCCCCATTTTTCATTTTTCCCATTTTCCTCATATTTCCATTTATCCTAAATTTCCCAGTTTTCCCCCCAATTTTCCCAGTTTTTTCCTTTTATTTTCCAAATTTTCCCATTTTCCAAACTTTTCTGAATTTTTCCTTCCCCCCCCCCCCAAATTTTCCCATTTTTTCCCTATTCCCCCTTTTTTCCCTTTCTTTTCCCCTATTTTCTCCTTTTTTTCCTCTGATTTTCCCCAGCTTTTATTTTTCCCCATTTTTCACCCACATTTCCCATTTTTCCCCCCAGATTTCCCACTTTTTTCCTTTTTTCTCCAAATTTTCCCGTTTTTCCAAATTTTCCCAATTTTATCCTTTTTTCCACTGAATTTTCCCCACTTTTTTCCATTTTTCCCCAAATTTACTCACTTTTTCCTTATTTCCTCCTTTTTGCCCTTCCCTTTCCCCCATTTTTCATTTTTCTCCCATTTTTCAATTTCCCCAGTTTTCATTTTTCCCCATTTTCCACCCAATTTTCCCTCAAAGTTCCCAAATTTCCCAATTTTTCCATTTTTCCCCAAACTCTCCCATTTTTCCCAAATCTTCCAAATTTTTCCCTTTTTTCTCCAAATTTTCCCAGTTTTTATGTATTCCTCCCTTTTTTTCACTCCTTTCCCCCATTTTCCCCTATTTTCTCCCATTTTTCAATTTTTCCATTTTTCATTTTCCCCATTTTTCACCCAAATTTCCCTGTTTTTCCCTCAAAGTTCCCAAATTTCCCAAATTTCCCATTTTTTCCCTTTTCCCTCAAATTTTCCAATTTTTCCTAATTTTCCCCATTTTCTCCATTTCTTTTCCTTTCTGCTCGAAGTTTTTTCCTATTTCCCCACTTTTTTCTCCTCCTTTTGCCCTCATTTTCTCCCATCTTTCCCCCATCTTTCTCCAATTTTTCCCTGATTTTTCCCCAAATTTTCTCGTTATTTTCCCCCATTTTCCCCAATGTTCCCATTATTCCCCCTTATTCCCCCGTTGTTCCCCCCACCCCCCGCACTTTGGTCGCTCCGCACTCGCGCTCGCTTCGGTTCCGCCCCCCGGCGCTCCGTACGGACCCTCCCCGCCCCCCTCAAATCCACACCGTGCGGAGCGGAGCGGTGCAGAAATGACGGCGGGACCCGCGGAGGTAACAGCGCTGTACGGGCACGGCAAGGAAACCGCGCGGAGATTTGCGCGGATCGCTGTACTGAAATCTGCGCGGATGTCTGCGGTGCGCGGAGCACTGCGCGGAGATTTGCGCGGCTGACTGCACTGAAATGTCCACGGATCGCTGCGCGGCTCCCTGCGCTCCCCCCCCAGTTTGCGCCCTTTCCCTTCGTCTCCATATTCCTTTTCCTCCAATTATTTCCTTTTGAAAATCCCCGTTTTGGCTTTAATTTCGGGTTTTATTTCATTAGATCGAAATTTTCATTCATTCTTCCCGAAGTTCCGTTTTGTTCCCTTTGTTTCATTTTGTCCCCATTTGCTTTCTTTTGCCTCAATTTTGAGCCCATTTCTTCAAATTTTGACTCATTTTAAAATTTCCATTTTAAGAAAAAACTTCGGTTTTTGAAAATTTTGATTTTTTCCCCCAAAATTCGATTTCTTTTGGAAATTTCGATTTTTTCCCAATTTTGATTCAATTTCTTTGTATTTTTTTCCTTAATTTTGATTTAATTTCTCTGATTTTGATTTCACTTTTTCTCAATTCCAATTTTTTCCCCTAATTTTCATTGCATTTCGTTGAATTAATTCCAATTTTTAAATTTGGATTCTATTTTTCATTAATTGCCGTTTTATTGCCCCCAATTTCGATTTCTTTTTAATTTTTATTTCATTTTTTATTTCAATTTTTTTCAATTTCAATTTTCTTCATTTTTTTACATTTTCCATTTTTTCCATTTTTTTATTTTATTTCTCTACTTATTGATTTTTTCACAAAATTTCATTTCCATATTTTTAATGTTCATTTCCTTTTTTATATTTGAGTTCTATTCCTTTAATCAATTCTCATTTTTTCAATTTTGATTTTATTTTTAAATTTGTTTCATTTTTAATTATTTATTTTCTTTTATTGCCTCTTAATTTTGATTCCCTATTAATTTTAGTTGTACTTATTTTGATTTCATATTCCATATTTTTTAATTTCTAATGTTTAATTTTTCCATTTTCCTCAATTTCCTCCCAGTTTTTCCCAAATTTCCCTCACCCGCCCCCATTTTTCCCCAATTTCTCCAACATTATGCAGTCCCCCGTTTCCCCCAAATTTTCCCCATCCCCCCATTTTGTCCCAATTTCCCCATTCCCCCCAAATTTTCTCCTGCATTTCCTTGAAATTTCCCCATTTGCCCCAATTTTTGCCCATTTTTCCTCTGATTTCCCCATTTCCCTCCATTTTCCCCATATTTTCCCCCAATTTCCCTCAAATTGTCCCCAATTTCACCCCAATTTTCCCCCTATTTTGCTCCCGTTTTTCCCAGATTTCCCCAATTTCCCTCCAATCTCCCTCCACCCCCCTTCACCACCCTGCATTTCCCACAGGTCCCAGATGCACTGCAGGAAGTGACTGTCATTTCCACCCCCACTGCTCTCCACCCTCTCCCGGGGCACCGCAGCCACCCACAGCTTCCCCCCACAGGTGGGGCCACTGACCCTCCCCCCCCTCTCCAAACCCACAGTCCCATTTGGGGCCCCCATTTCCCCATAGGGATCCCCTCATGTCTTGGGGTGCAAAAAGATGGGAGCAAATGTGAGGGGGGCTGGGGGGCACTGGGGCGCGGACCCCCAAAAGATGCTTTCTGGCAGTGGTGAGATTCGAACCCACGCCCCCGCAGAGACTGGAGCCTTAATCCAGCGCCTTAGACCGCTCAGCCACACTACCCCATGGGATACCTGCAAATCCCAATGCGAAACAATGAGGAATCCTCAACCCAGTGGGATCCAAAGGGACCCAAACCCATCAGCCAATGGGATCCTACAACCCAAACCTATCACCCAATGGGATCCCGCCACCCAATCCCATCACCCAATGGAATCTCACCAACCAAATCCCCTCAGCCAATAGAGCTCCACTTCTCCAAGCCCCATTATACCTCACTCAATGAAATCCCACCACCCCAATCCCACCACACCAATGGAATCCCATCACCCCAAACCCCATATGGGGGACTGGGACAAAACGGATGGGTTCCATTGGCAGCACTGGGGTGGGATGTGGGATCAGAGCTGTTCATCCCACTCCAAACACAGATCTGACCCACCACCACCCACCTATATAGGGCCACAGGAGTGCAGTAGGGAGCCATGGGTCCCCAACATGCTCAGCTTGGGGGATGAGGAGCCCACGCGACCACTGCTGTGGGTTTGGGTCCGGAGGAGGAGGTGAAGAGGCTGCCCCAACACCGGGACGTCCTCTGGGTCCTCCTGCTCAGGTAAATGGGGGATGGGTGTAATGGGGGAAAGTGGGTGTGGGAACCAATGAGTACCCATATGGGGATGTGTCCACATCCCACCAGAACTCCATCCCCATCCCCCTCCCACAGTTCCCATCCCTTCACCTCTCCTCTTCCCCTGTCCATGGCTCCCATCCCCTTTCTATGGTTCCCATCCTCTTTTCATCCTCCTCATCCCCTCTCCACAGTTTCCATCCTTCATTCCCATCCATGGCCAACAAATTGCTCAGCAAGAGCCACACGCTGCCAGGCAGCAATGCCAGCAGTGCTGCAAACACAGCCTATGTTGCATTGCCTCCTACAGACTACATGGTACAGCTCCATGTGCACCACAACCACGCACCAGAGCCGTGTGCTGAATGCAGGCAGAGCTCAGCCCTCAGTGCAACACCTGCACGGCAGCACAAGGATGTGATGCCCCATCACTGCCTGCAGTGCGGAGCTGCATTCCGGCTGCATTCGGCACTGCTGCTTCACCAGAAAAGCCACACGGTGCTGCGGCCGCACACCTGCAGCGACTGTGGGAAGGCATTCCGTGAAGCCGCCACGCTGCGCCGGCACCGCCGCATCCACACTGAGGAAAAGCTGTACAGCTGCCAATACTGCGGGAAGAGCTTCCGCGCCAGCTCCACGCTCATCATCCACCAGCGCATCCACACCGGCGAGAAGCCGTACCTGTGTGGCAGCTGCACCAAGTGCTTCATTTCTGGCTTGTTGCTCATGAAGCACCACCTCATGCACCAGCGCCAGACACTGTGATGGGGTCGGTTGGTTCCCCCTCCCCACGGGGCTCTGAGGGACTCACAGCCCCCTCCCCACAGAGCTCTGCTGTGTCCCCATTGCTGGCCCACAGTTTTATGGCTTTCCCAACCAAACCCAATGAGGATTGGTCTTTTCTTGGGGGGTTGGACTCCACTGGGTGGACTAATTGGGGTGTTGGAGGAGGGCGATGGGGATTGGGGTGATGGGACTCCGTTGGGATGGAGGGATTCTACTGGGTAGGGGATGATGGAGTCTAGGATGGTGGGACCCCGTTGGGTTGGGGGATGATGGGGTTCCATTGGGAAGGAGGATGATGGGCTTGGGATGGTGGGATTCCATTGGGATAGAGGATGATAAGATTTAGGGCAATGGGACCCCATGCGATGGAGAATGATGAGATTTGGGATGGCAAAATTCCACTCAGTGGACTATGATGGGGTTTGGGTCAGTGGGACCTCAGTGCAATGGTGGATGATTGGGTTTAGGATGGTGCTCAGGAAGCACGCTTGCATGCACCAATTCCAGGCGCCCTGACTAGCTCACAGCCCCCTATCTCACTCCAATTTATAGGAGGGAGAGGAGGTTCTTTTATTATCTATATACCCGGTGTGAGATTAAGAAGCAACGGTTCAAATGTTGGTCCGACCAGTTTATTACAAATCTTAATCAGGGAAATGGGGAAGGGGAGGATGGACACTATTATGATTAGGGTAATGGGGAAGGGAAGGAGGGCAATAGAAAAGATAGAAGAGAAGAAGCAAGGAGTCTTTATAGGCAGCAAGAGGGACATAGTCACCACAGTGGTTCAGTCTTTGATCCTCAGTAGTGGTGGGTCGTTGGGCAGAGTTTTTCTATGGACGATGACGGCAATGACGAAGGACAACGATGACCATGGTGATGATGGCCCTTTTTCAATGCTTCAAAGTGGTCGAGTCAGCTCTCCTTGCAGTGACAGCTCAAACCCAAGGTGGTTGAGTCAGTTCTCCTTGCTGTGGCAGCTTCTGGCTCTGGGATCTCAGCAGGAACCTCCTTTGTTCTTATCTTTCTGGCCTTGCCAGCAGAAAAGAGGAAGCAGGGAGGCACCAACTTGTATCTTGCCTTCGCAGGATACAGTGGTATCATCCCCCAGCCTTCCATACTAAGCTGGAGCGGTTTAGTCACAGGCCAGATCTTCCGCCAGTAAACACTCCTGAGCACTCTCATCCACTCTTCTACAGAGCAAGCAGCTCTGGAGGAAGGGGCTTTCAAATGTTCCCAAAGCGATATCGATTGTCACACAGTTAGCACCCTGATGGTAGCCACAGAGCTCTCCGTCTACTCAAGGGATTTGTGAGGTTCATCACCACACAAAGCCACAGGTGCTGACCAAGCTGGGGCTCTGGCAGAAGCTCTTCCAATGTTCGGGACTCTGCAGGCGCTGTATCTTCTGTGGCTGTGCTGGTAGATAACGAGTCTAGAACAGCTTTTGAAGGTTCCCAGAGTCTTGAGATGCTTCTACAGCATCTGTGCACTGTGGATGTGCTTGTGGGAGTTGAGACTACATTTGTGTTTAAAGCTCTTTTCACAATCAGGACACTGAAAAGGTTTCACCCCTGTGTGGATGTGCTGGTGGCACTTCAGAGCTGCTTTTGAAGCTCTTCTCACACTTAGGACACTGAAAGGGTCTCTCTCCTGTGTGGAAGCACGCGTGGTAGATGATGTGGGCACGGCTTTTGAAGCTCTTCCCACACTCAGGGCACTGAAAGGGTCCCTCTCCCATGTGTATGGCCTGTTTCTGCCAGGGCTGTGTGCAAGGAGAGTCACCTCTGATCTCCCCTGTAGAAACCCATCTGCTGTGGGGCAGCAGGTGAGGACCCAAAGGAAACCTCAGCTGGGCTGATATGTCACCAGGAAGGAAGAAATCCTGTCTGCAGGCAGTGTGGGAAGAGCTTCATCTGGAGCTCAACCCTCAGTAGACGCCAGAGAACCAACTCAAGAGGAGAGTCCCAGTGAGTGCCGTGACTGCAGGAAGAGGTCTGTCCACAGCTGGCAGCTCATCACACACCGGTGGATCCACATGAGGAACCCTACAGATGTGCAGCCTGCAAGAAGAGCTTTGGGCACAGCTCGAACCTGCTGAGGTACCAGAGTGTCTGCACTTGGGTGGAGTCCAATCCGTGCCTGCACCAGTGAGTTCACGTGGCAGGAAGCCTTAGAAATGCCTCGAGTGTGAGAAGGGCTTTGTGCAGAGCGCAGAGTTTCGTGAGATGGCACTCGTGGAAGAAGTGCTACAAATGTCCCATGTGTGGCAAGATTGTCAATCAAAGCTCCTACCTGATCAAGCACCCTGGGATCCACAGAATCACAGAATCACAGAATTGTAGGGGTTGGAAGGGACCTCCAGGGATCATCGAGTCCAACCCCCTGCCAAAGCAGTTCCCTACAACCAGGTCGCACAAGTAGGTGTCCAGGCAGGTCTTGAATATCTCCACAGCAGGAGACTCCACCACCTCCCTGGGCAGCCTGTTCCCGTGCTCCGTCACCTCACCTAAAGAAGGTCTTGTGTACAATTGTGCAGAACTTTCTATGCTGCAGTTTCTGGCCGTTTCCCCTTCTCCTGTCTCCACACACTGCTGAAAAGAGTCTGGCCTCACCACTCTTCCCCCACACCTCAGGTATTTGTAAACCTGGAATAGATCCCTTCTCAGTCTTCTTTTCTCAAGGCTGAACAGACCCAGTTCACTCAGCTTTTCTTCATAGCAGAGATGCTCCAGGCTCTTCACCATCTTTGTGGCCCTCCGCTGGACTCTTTCCAAGAGATCCCTGTCTTTTTTGTACTGGGGAGCCCAGAACTGGACGCAGTGCTCCAGATGAGGCCTCACCAGGGCAGAGCAGAAGGGGAGGATCACCTCCCTCGACCTGCTGGCCATGCTCTTTGGAATGCACCCCAGGATGCCATTGGCCTTTTTGGCCACAAGGGCACACTGCTGGCTCATTGCCAACCTGTCGTCCACCAGGATGCCCAGGTCCCTCTCTGCAGAGCTCCTCTCCAGCAACTCATCCTCCAACCTGTACCAATGTAAGCAGTTGTTTCTCCCTATATGCAAGATTCTACACGTGCTTTTATTAAACCTCATCTGGTTTCTTACTGCCCAGCTCTCCAGCCTGTCCAGGTCTCGCTCTCAATCCTCATTAAACATTGCCCATTCCAATGAGACGGTGGCCCTGCAAGTGTCTCTGGTGCAGGAAGAGTTTCTCTCAGGGCTGGCACCTCGTTTCTCCTGGGAAAAATGCCAGCGGAGAGACCTTGGGGATGCTGGAAAGCCCAGGATGATGGAGACCCCAATGCTTCTTGGAGGGTTTGGTTTCGGTGCCAACACAGGAGGAGTTTTCAACGGAGATGGCATCCCTGGCACCCTCTGCACAGGGCACTTATCCAGGAAGCTTCACATGGCCTTTCCTTGCTACCCAACGCAGTTCTCTCACCATGCCTGCTTTCCTCTTCTGCTCTGCCTGCCAGCAGCTTTTTGATGCTGTTTCCTAAGGAGAAGCGGCTGTGCAGGGATGTTCTGTGTGTCTGTGTGCATGTGCTGCTCTCAGTAATTTGTGAGTGCACTGATGAATCTTAGAGGGGTCAGGAGAGCAGTAACGTGTCTCATGGAGGTATTCTGAAAATCATCTGCAGTGGGAAGGGAAAGGGGTGAATAAAGTAGCTGAGTTGTTCTGGAGCTTTCTTCACTGTGGTCTTGTTTTTTGTTTTTAAAATAAACGTCAGCATGTGCAATGAGGAGAGGGAAGGGTGCAAGCAGGGTTTGGTTTGGGTGCCTCTTCCAGCCCACTGCTTGCTTTTGGGAAGGCATTTCTTTCACACAATCCTATCATCCTTCCTAACCCAATGTGTTGCACATTGGTTCAATTGCTTTTCTCGAATGCTTTAATCAGGAACTCAGAGTAGCTGTGTGACATGAAGTCTTGGTTGTCTCCAATAAAGCTACAAAAAGCTGAGCTTGTTATTCCTAAACGCATCGTCCAAAGTTTCAGGAGATGGCAGGAACAGAAAGCAATGCAAACCCGCAGGGTGCACCAGCAGCTCATCCCCACAGCACAGAGATATCAGAGTGCTCTCCAGGGCGTGCTTGCCTTGCAAGTGATCCCTTTAGAGCTTGAAAGTTTTTGCTTTGACCTTGGCAAGGTGTGTCTGAGACCTCCTGCAGCAGGGCCTTCACCTTTGCTGGGCTCAGCTAAAGCTGCTGTGGTTGGAATGCGGTTGGCAGGAAGTGGAGGTTGATTTTGGTGAGCTAGTGAAGCCAGCAGGAGCTTGCCCATGTCCTCTAAAGGCTCTCTGACCCCTCAGCAAGCTGCAAGGAGATGATGATTGCAGTCCCGAGGAGCTCTGCTTCCTCCATCCCAGGAAGCAGAGGCCTGGTCTGGTGCTGGAGAGGTACAGCAGGGCCCTGGGGCTTGCAGGAACTCACAGCTCCAGGGGAAATGCATGGGGACGAAGCAAGCAGCTGGGAGGCGTGGGGATCCCCAGCAGCAGGAGGCAGCAGCCCAGCCAACAGCCAGGATGATTTACATTTAAACTGCAACCAATTATTTCTTGTCCAGTGGCATCACTCATGTGTCTCCTTTTTCCTTTTAGATTCCCCAAAAAAACATTCTCACTCTTCTGTGTTTTCATTTTACATCACCATATTCTCAGAATTGTTGAGCAGGATTTCTCTAAAAAGAAAATGAAGATGAAGGTTTTCTACATTTACTGCCATAAAAATCAATTTAACTGCTGGAGCAGGAACATTTCAGATGGGGGCGTGAAGGAGGGGGGTGCCAGTCTAGGGGTGGACGTTCATACAGGTGGGCATGGAGGGAGGGATGGAGGGATGGAGGGATGGAGGGATGGAGGGATGGAGGGATGGAGGGATGGAGGGATGGAGGGAGAGCTTTCTCCCATCAGATTTAACCCGCAGTTGCATATGCCCAGCAGAAGCCTGTGTCCTCTGTGTCCCACGTGACCTCTGCGTGTAGCTTACACTTGGCTGTGATGTGGTGAAGAGCCTCTGGGCACTGATTAAGGGACATGGAAGTAAAGCGGGAATCTAGCGTAAGCCAGCCCGCCAGGAGGATGATACCAATTAATTATTCTTGACGGAATTAAGGGATGTGTCTGGAACAGCATCACTTCCCCTAGGCACTGTGGTCCGTCTGCACTGGACCAGTGCACTGGTCACTTGTTAAGAGTCATCTCATAAGAGCACAGGTGCAGGCAATTTCAAAGTGTTGCAAGACAAGAAGCGGGGCAGAAGTCCAGCTGCTCTGAGCAGAGATTTCTTCTAGAGTTCGTGTGGAAGGGAAGGTAAATGGACTCACGGAGTGAGACCTGGCTACATGGGAGCAACTGACTATGAACCTTTGTGGAATGTGCTGCTCCACTTGCAGCCAGGTAAACGTATGGCCTGTGGGGATTATCCAGCGGTCTTGGGAATCTCAACAGGTCCCAGTTGATTGGAAGCCGGCAAACATCCCAGTTTCCAAGAAGAGCGGGAAAGAAGAGCTTGGTGATTAGTACCCTTTGAGGCAAGGCCTGATCTGTCAGCTTGTACCGAAAGGACTTCTAAGGTCCTTTTCCAGAAGTGCTCTTTCTGTTGTTCATTCAACACTGTCACTCCGTGCACATGATGGCCGAGGTGACCACATTCACAACCCTTCCAGTTAGACAAAGGCGAACCAACACTCAAGATTCACACACAGGTGGAAAACAACATCAACTTTATTAGCAGATTTCTACAAAACATTTATCCTACGTTTCCACCCTCTCACACTTGTATCTGTCTAAGCTGTGTTCTTTACAGGAACTTCAAGTATGCCTTGAGGTAGTAAAAACAATAAGAGGAGAAAAAAAATAATGAAAAGGAAGAAGAGAAATTAGAAGGGCTAGGCACATCATCAGTCCTGGATCCAGCACCAAGCGTGCTGACAGAGATGCTCCACATGGTAAAGAATGGAAGCAGCAGCATCTAGAAGCAGGGCCAGCAGCAGAGGTAGGGCAAACCTGACCTCCCCCCCAGCACCTAGTTATAATACCAAAGGAAAAAGACAGATCCCATCTGCCCCTGTTTGGAATTGGAGCTGCCTCCGGTCCTAGACACTGGACTACATCCAAAACTACGGAAGTCACACCAGGCCCCCTCCTGAAACTCGACCGTTTCAGGACTGTTGTTCTGAACTCTTCCAAGAGTGGCTGACACATCAGTCCAATTAAGGGAAGGGACACTTGGCTCTTCCCTGCTACTTAATTGTCTCTCAGGGCATTGTTCCGGCTCACACTAACAGACTCTAACATCTCACCCCAAACACCACCCCATGGCTCAAACATTCTGAGGTCTCCTTCAATAATGGTGATCTGTACAGAGTGGTTAGCAGGTGAAGAGGAAGAGAGGTGAGAAGGCCTACCATTACAAACAAAAAACCCACACCACATCGTAAGATTGATCTTCACAAGACATTTCCCCCACCCCCTGCATCCCAGTGATTTCAGCAGTGATGTGATCCACGGCCATGGATCAGTCCATCAAAGCAGTCTTCTGGCTGCATCGCCTGAAAAAGCTCTCCAGTCCTTCTGGTGATTTCCTTTGTGTTTTGATGGGCCTCACTTACGCCAGTGGTGGCACGGCAGATGGTGATACAGCATTCTCCTTCAGTTCAAGTTCAACAGCCCTCGCACCCTGTGTTCTTTTGACAGCAATATGTCGAGCACCAGTTGGTTTTGCAAGGCCACCTTGGATACTTGTTGAACAAGTACAAGAACTGCTCTGCCTCCTCCAACCAGCAAAAAGGAAACACAAGCGTTCTTAGCTGCTGTGGGATTCCAAAGAATGCATTTTCTGGATTACAGTCTGACTGCAAACCCTCTCTATCTTGGGACCTGGAAGAAGAACGATTTCACGCGGGGCAATGAGCAGCAGCAGACTTTGAACAAATTAAACAGGCGATAGCTCATGCAGTAGCCCTTGGGCCAGTGCAGACAGGACAAGATGTAAGAAATTCACTCCACACAGCAGCTGGGGAGAACGGCTCCACTTGGAGCCTCTGGCAGAAACCAGAGCAGTTCCCAGCATGTTAGTTGTTACACAGTTCAGATACATATGCACACTGTCATAACATTTATCCTTTATCTAAGTGAAAACTTCATCTAAACCTGTAAGTTCTACTTCATGGGTTTTTCTTTTGTTCTCTCCTCCATCCCAAAGGGAAAGAGAAGAGTGAGAAAACGACTGCTGAGCGGCCTGCTGGTTTAAACCTTCTACTTTCTGTTCTTAAACACTTCTACTTTCTGTTTCCTCTGTGCACATGCTTATGGGATTTGAGATTTGAACTGCTTCTAAAGCCCTTCCCACACTCAGAGCACTTGAAGGGTCTCTCCTCTGTGTGGATGCGCTGGTGGAGAATGACATGGGAAGTCTTTTTGAAGCTCTTGCCACATTCAGGGCACTTGTAGGGTCTCTCTCCTGTGTGGACGTGCTGGTGTTGGATGAGGTGGGAACTGCTTTTGAAGCTCTTCAAACACTCTGAACACTTAAAGGGTTTCTCTCCAGTGTGGATGCGCTGGTGTACTGTGAGGTTTGAACGGTGTTTGAAGCTCTTCCCACACTCAGAGCACCTAAAGGGTCTCTCTCCTTTGTGGATGCGCTGGTGGTGGATAAGGTGGGAACTTCTTTTGAACCTCTTTCCACAGTCAAGACACTTAAAGGGTCTCTCTCCTGTGTGAATGCGCTGGTGAAGAATGAGGTCAGAACTGATTCTGAAACTCTTTCCACACTCAAGACACTTATAGGGTCTCTCTTCCATGTGGATGCTCTTGTGGCGCGTAAGGTTGGCTCTCCATTTGAAGCTCTTTCCACAATCAGAGCACTTATACAGTTGTTTTTCTGAGTTGACACACTGGTGGTTAACAAACTCAGAACAACTTTTAAAGCTTTTCCCAGATTCAGTGCAATACTTCTGCTTTTTCTTCTGGCACACTTGCTTACACCTGGGGTCTTCAGGCTCCTTCTGACTTGTGCTGAAGCTGAGATGGTTCCTTGCTCTCCTTCCAGAATGCTTTCTCAGTGGCTTCTTGAAGTGATCTCCTTGCTCCAGGCCACTCTGGGCATGCTTTCTTGCTTTCCTTACAGATGCACTACTATACTGCCTTTTGGCTACACTAGTTTTGGGCAGACCCTCCTTAAAATCTGTGATCACAGCTCCTGATGGATTGCGTAAGAAACCAAGAATTAGCACATGAACCCAACAACGGCCTATTCACACAAGGCGTTTACAGCCTCAGCCTCCTCCTTCCGTCCACCACCTCACCTGGGCTGAGGTCTGTTGGCACAGTCTCAGGGCTACGCACATCCGGGATCCAGGGATCATCCCCTCCTTCACACAGGGAGATCAGCAGGCATTTGGGGACTGGATGTGGAGCTTCAATGACAGAAACATTGGAACATAAGAGTGTTAACTTGATTCTGGTACAGCTGCTTCTCCAGCAACTCGACTATCTGTCCCTCCAAAACTGAAGCCACAATCAGGGCCTGAATGACTCGGGGCAACCACGTAGACATTAGAATGTATCTGTTGAATTTTTCCAAACTGCTCTATGCCCAAGGCTTCAAAAATGTTTATGGGAATGGAATAGAGAGCCAATAAATGCTAAAGTAATAACTTGAGTGTGGTCTGGCTGCTGCTGCTGGTAGTACCCTGCAATGCAGCAAGAAAAGATGGCTCTACCACCCCCCCCCCAGCTGATGCCTGCTTCCCAGCACCAACTCAGGGGCTTTTATCAGAGTGCTGAGCACAATAAGCCCCCCATAAAACTCACGCTCCTCTGTGTTTCTTTTGTTACTGTCACTGTGGTGTTGGTCAAGAAGTAAGTGCATGATAATTATTCTAGGCCTGGCCTGCAGAGGCTCATTCTGCACAGCCAGAGATGCCCTAACGAGGAGGAAAGGCAGCAAAGCCCTCACCCAGCGAGGCCACGCACTGGTATGTCTCCAGCATCACGTCCCGGTACAGCGCTCGCTGCGCAGGGTCCAGCAGCGCCCACTCCTCCCTGCTGAAATACACGGCCACCTCCACAAAGCTCACGGGCTCCTGCAAGCAAAGAGGCTCCTTGCTGGGAACAGCCAAGGCCCAGGGAAGCAGCTCAAACAGGACACAAACTCCCGTCCCAGCCGCTTCTCTGGCCCCAGCACACACACGCTGCCTGAGGCCACCTCCCTCTCCCCCTGCATTCACATCCCTCGCCCCTCGGCCTCTCCTGCCTGCTTCCCCCAGCCCCTACCTGAGATGCATGTGCTGTGGCCATCTGCTGCTCTCCTGCAGCTGAAATGATCACGGCTGGAAGGCAGAAGTTGAACTGGAGCCTGCAGGGACAAGAGAAATGGCAGGGGAGCTGTGAGGGAACGCAGCAGTCCCTGTCCCAGCCCAGCCCTCCACAGCCCATCTGCAGGGCACTGCCTGGGGGGATGGCACAGCAGGCCTTGCACAGGAACACAAGCAGCAACAGCACTGGTAACACTCTGGCTGAAGCTGATTACGAATCACAAAGCTGACTCCAACTGGGTGGCACAAAGAACTGACAACGGTTCAACAGCTGAGGATACATGGACTGTATGCCTAAAGACAATGCATAGCAAGAAGGCAGTCATCTTACCCCTAAACGGGGAGCAGCCCCATGTGCCCCTTGAGTTCTCTGGCTCAGCAAAGGCTGTACGACAGGATCTCCCCTCAAGTAGGGATGTCTCTCAAGGTCACGCCTGTATAGACATCCCTGAGAGGTGATCCAGAGATCTCTGAGTGAAATACTTCCTCAAAATATCTAAGATAATCTCCTCTGTGTCAAATTAAAATCATTCCCCTTGTACCCATCATTATCCACCCTAGTAAAAAGCCCTTCCCCTCCAGTTTATAGTTTCCTTCAATTACTGGAAGGCCACAATGTGGTCTCCCCGGAGCCTTCCCTTCTCCTAGTTAAACAAGCCCAGTTTCCCCATTGCACCAAGAATGCCTCGATGCCATCTCCCTCCTCTCCCACCAGGGGGCGACGCTTCCCACTCCACTCCGCAAGTACACCTCCCTCACTTCAGGGCAAGGTTCTCAGCACCGTGCGCCCTTTGCACGAGGCAGCCTGGGCTGCATTTTACTGACGTGCTTGTCGGGTGCGTTCTCAACGTGTGCTCCAGTCAGCCCACAGGCTGTCAGCTTTTCAGCTTCTATTACACAGCCCAGTGCCAGGGCTGGTGCAGATGCTGGACTACTTGTGAGAAATCCAACTCCATAACCAGAAAATGATATAAAGCAGGTCTATTTTGAGTTACAGCACTGCGCACACACGCTGGGAGCTGAGGAAGGAGCCTTTCCTAACCTGCACACCGTAAAAGGACAGTTTAAGGATGCTAATAGAGACAAGTTACACACATGCAAGGAGAGGATATTACATGCATTACATGCAAGATAGGAAAGGATTGATTCTAAGAAAGTAGGCAAAGATTATTCTGATTTTATAATTAGGATAGGAGTTGATGTTCATTGGTTCCAGAAAGTTATAATATTTTCCACCCCAATTGCTGAGACCTGATTTCTGCAGATCTTTTTCCTTGCTGTAGTGGCACATGTTTTGGCGCATCTTATGCTGCTTCCATTAAACATACTCAAGAAAGAACGCAACAAGGTATTATCCAAAGTAAATTGGTGGATCATCTATGAATATTCCAAGAAAGAATAAGACTATGCAAGACTTGAAGAATTACCGAGGCAGGCAAACTCGGTAACCAACTGGTTAATCTGCTCCACAGTTCTGTAAATCCAAATGAGGTATCATCCAGAGTAAATTGGTGGATCACCTGAATTTGTTCCCATAGATCAGTGTGCACATCTCTCAGAATCACAGAATCACAGGATTGGAAGGGACCTCAGGAACCATCAATCTCCAACCCCCTGCCACATTCAGGGCCACCAACCTCTACATTTCATACCAGCCCAGGCTGCCCAGGGTCCCATCCAACCTGGCCTTGAACACCTCCAGGGATGGACGGGGCATCCACAACCACTCAGGGCAGCTGTTCCAGCACCCAGACAGAGCCCTGGGGTACGCCGCTCATTACTGGCCTCCACCCAAACATAACACCATTAACCACCACGCTCTGTCTGTGGCCTTTCCACCAATTCCTTATGCATCGAGTGGTCCACCCATCAAATCCACATCCCTCCAATTTGGAGATAAGGATGTGGTGGGGGACCATGTCAAAGGCCTCGCTCAAGTCCAGGTAAATGACATCAGTCGCCTTTCCCTTGTCCACCCATGCCCTCCATCATAGAATGCCACCAGGTTGGATAGGGATGACCTTCCCCTGGTGAAGCCATGCTGGCTGTCTCGGATCACACGCCAATTCCTCATGTGACCAAGCATGTCATCCAGGATGATCTGTTCCATGATCTTCCCAGGCACAGAGCGAGACTCACCGGCCTGTAGTTCCTGGGGTCCTCCTTGCTCCATTTCTTGTCAATGGGAGTGACGTGACCCTTCCTCCAGTCATCCGAGACCTCACCTGACAGCCACGATTTTTCAGATATGATGGAGAGCAGCTCAGCAGCCACCTCAGCCAGCTCCTTCAGAACCCTGGGATGCAGCCATCCAGCCCCATAGACTTGTGCACATTCAGTCTCATGAGGTGGTCTCAGACCTGCTCTGTCCTCACAGCGGGGTGGGGGATTTACCACCACACGTCTGTTTCTTTGAGTTTCATCAGTTTTGATTAATTATAGCCTACACTCCTCCTTCTTTGGCCATCAGGAGATCAAGACCCATTCCATTCTGCAATACTGTTTCACTAGGAGAGGATACCTCTGTCTGCAATCCAAGTACAGCATCTGTGGGGAAGTCTCTGGACTCTCAGGACGTGCTAGAGACGTGACAGCACACCAGTGTGGTTAAAAGCTGTGAGTCTGTTTTATTGTTAAGCACTACTCTATTCGTACATGTTAACAGAGCATTCTGCAAAACATTCTTGAACTGTTCACACAGGCGCTTAGCCAATCAGAGCCATGAGATGTTCTTTCTTCTTCTAAAGGTGTCTTTAGTTCTCATGCCACTTATCTTGCTCCACAGCTGCTGCTCTGAACAGTTTTTTCTTATGTTCCCACAAGTATCCACAGCTGAGCTCTTGATATTCTCCAGTGTAGCTGCTATACTGACAATTGCCTTTTCTGATTCACTTACTCCTGGACTAGGAATAAACCATCCAATAAAACTATGGAACCCACAGGGCCTGTCTATAAGGGGGTTATTCCCCGCTTCACCCTTTTCCAAGAGCCTCTCAGCATCCCTGGGGAAGGAGCTGTTCCATTGAAGCACTAAGCATCCTCCTGCATAATGTCCTTCTAGTTCTCAGGAAGTGTCTTACATTGAGGCCTGTCTACAGCTGTACACTGAATTTAGGTCCTTTTTCCTATTGTTCTGATTTTATTTGCACACCTACGCCTACTTCCTGCTCCACCCCATGGTGTCCAATTGGTGGAAGGAGTCCCACACTGAGGGATTTCCATTCCTCCATCTCTTGGTAAGGCTGTACATATCCTGCAATCAGGGAGCTTTAGGCTAACCACTGTTCCTTTAGTGATGTTTAAATAGGTATTTTCACACCAGGCTGAAGAAGTCTTATGTAAAACATGCAACCTGTAGAACACATTCTAAACATATTGTCTCTCAATCCTTAGCTCCAGTGGTTCGGTCTTCTTAACAGTGCACTGGGGCTGAGATGTCTTCTTAACTCACGTGTAGCTCCACCACGCTTGCTCTTTCACCTTGATCGCTATGGATGATGCTCTGGATGATGCTCTCAACCCCAAATCTTGGAATTGTCTCTTGTAACAGTACTTTAGTTACTTCCTGCACCTTGTTGGTCCTGCAAGGGAAAAGGTGTCTGTTAATACCAACGTATACCTATACCCCTTTTTCCTGTGAGTTCAGAGAAATCAATTCACCGTTGTTGTCCAGGATAAATTCCCTTCCCTGTTAGTCCCATGGCATCGTGGGGCCTGTTCTAGGACTATTCTGTAAACAAATCTCACAAAAGGGTTACCTGCTTAGTGGTGGTGTATAAATTCCAAGCCACAATCCGTTGCCTCAAGTATTTATACAGGGTCTCAGTTCCCCAGTGAGTTTTCCTGTGCTCAGCCATGATTATGGCCCATAACAGGGAGGTGAGAACTACTATCTTGTTTTGAAGCCTGCACTTCTGTGTCCTCTGTTTCTGAACGCTTTCCAAGCCCTCTTGATTAGTTTATCCAGGTCCTGTATTTTGCTTCCTTTAATCTGTACTTCACCAGGAGAAAATAAAGACGTTCTTGCTCTGATTAACAAGAGACCTTGGGAGATGTGAACAAGTTCAGCAGACATGGAGAGAGAAAACTGAAAGACTGCAACTATTTGTGCCAGACAGAACCTCTTGACATGATCACAAGGCGTCTAGCTTGTACACCTGGCATGGGAGTGAGCAGATGCTATCAAGGTCAAGCTGACAAATGGCATGCACTGGCAGCAGGACACCAGCATCCACAGCATACACATCCAGCATCTCACTGACAACCTGGTGTTTGACAGCCTCTATGACCTCATCATCCACTATCGGGAGATGCCACTGAGGTACAGCAGACTTGAGATGAAGCTGACAGAGCTGGTGCTCGAGTCCAACACCCACAGCAACAAAGCCTGTGTGTTACGGGACGGCACAAGAGGGATGAGCCCAGCTCTAGTGCCATCTCCTTCAGGGCAGGATGGAAGGATGATCCAGCACTACTGCATGCAGAAAAAGGGTCACGATTAATGAGACATTTGACCAAGAGCATGTTGTTCAAGATCATTGTGTGCAATAAAAGTTTTTGTTCTGCTCTAACAACAGTCTGTGCCTAATTGCCACAGGTAAACCTTAATCTGCTTTGCCCTCCTCAATCTGAATGAGGACCCTTGGATAGGATTTTAAAAGGTTACAGAGAGTTGTTACCAGTATTCCATGGTTGTACATCCATATGCAACACCACCTTGTCATCCCTAGGGAGATCCTTTGCTGATGGAGCTTCCACAGTCTGGCAAGTTGCTTCCTTCCTCGTTGTTCTCTAGGGTTTGGGATCCAGCAGCAATTCTGTAACCTAAATAGGTTACTTGTGGCCATGCCATCTGTGCTTTCTGTGGAGAAACTCGATAGGCATGAAGTCCGAGAAAGTTTAGTAGACTAATCGTCCTTGCTATGTATACCTCCTTTGTTTTGGTAGCTATCAGAAGGTCATCATGTGCTGTGACAGGGATCCTCATCCTGGGGCTGTACCCATTGCTGCACTCTTTGGCAAGTTGGTTCCTGAAAAGAGTGGGGCTATTCTGAACACTTGGGGAAGCAAACATCAGCTGATTCTCTGGACTCAATGGTAGACAAAAGACGGCACCTTCTAGGTCCAGAACGGCAAACCATGCCAGTTCCCCTGATAGTTTTGTAAGCAGTGTGTATGGGTATGCTACCAATGGGTATAAATCCTACACTGTTCTATTGATGGCCCTTAAATCTTGTACTCACACTCCAACAACAACCCGAATTTCTGAAAACTGTCCATTATTGGCCGGATTCCTTTCCCATCTCTGAATTTGAGGGGGTACTGTTCAATCTGAACCGGCTGAGCTCTCTGCTTTATTCCAATTGCTATTGGAGCTGCATTCTTAGCTCTTACTGGGGTTTCTAGTATCCACATCCCAGAACAGATTTGATCACTTCCTTTGTCTGGGATCCTGGTCCCAGCAGAGGTAGTGATCAATGCTAAACTAAGCACCTCTATTAACAGCTCTTCTTGTACCTTAAATTCCAATCCTCCTCTCAACTTGATTTCAGCTTCCAGTTGTTCTAGTAAATCTTGCCCTAGTAAAGGCTTTGGTGAATTTGGCACCTGCAAACATTTGTGTATCCCTACCTGTTCATACAACTTAGTATACATACAACTTAGTATACATACAACTTAGTATAGGTAAGGTATACCTTACCTATACTAAGTTGTAAAGGCTTAAGAAAGTAAACCTCCTCACTTGTGCCAGTGGCTTCCCCTGCGGTTACAAATTCATCACTTACTGGAGTTAGAGAAGTATTTCACACCCAATAAGTTGCTCCAGTTACTACCAATTCCACACTTGGCTGCAATTCCTTCTTTAGTTTAATCTGCTCCACCCTTAACTGTTATTGCATCTGTTACCAAATCCAGTGCCTCTTTTTGCATTGTTTTTCTATCCAAGGAGGACAGAACCCTCCTGGGCCTTTCCAGCTCCCTTCCCCTTCAGCTCCTCCTGAGGAGATCTCTGGGTCCTACAGCCCTCCTCTCAGCTCCTCCCCTGCTAAGGCTTCCCATGCTAACACTGGGATATCCAGTTTCCCAGGTCTCTGCAGATGAAGGCTGGTCGCTTCCAGCGTCTGCCTGCCTTGGCACAAACAAGATTAACTGCTAAATGGTCATCACCTTCCAACCACCATTGTTTGCAATTATTAATTGAAGTTTTCTTGCTCACGGTGCCCCCAGGCTCCCCAGCAGTATCTGAAGTGGAATTTGCCTGGGGACTTCCTTTCCCTGTGCTCCCCCATACTCAATTTCATTGATTCCTTATTGTTCCCCAAAGTCCACACCTTATAGGTAGAATGTTAGTGTGAGCACATGCATATTCCTCTTTAAAGCCCAGTCCACAACACCAACCGAAACGCCACTTTCCTCTATTCCACTGTAATCCCTGGACACTACTACAGGTCAAGCCTCTGATAACTTCTTGTTTATTTCTTTCCCAGTGGAAAAAAAAATATACAGAAATGAGTGAGTCCTCGGTGGGGG